CATTTCAAACAACGAAAATTCCGACAGAGCTAAATTTTGGTGGAGACCTTGGGTACACCATTAGAAATAAAGTGTCAAAAGTCCCCACCGATCCCATGTATGCTAAAAATGTTATTTGGGGTCAAAGGTCAAAATTTGAGGGTTTTACAAAAATGGTCCTTATACTTTTTTTCTAATAATCGCCATTCCTGAGATATCGCGATTCTAATAGTTGAAGGGTCCACGTTCTAGAATCTAGATGATATGCACTCATTTCCACACCACCTGTGAGGAAGTGTACTTTGACGCGTTTTTTTAACGTGGTTTCCCCGGCAGGCCTGCTCCACGAACAGTTATGACGAAATTTTCAGGGACAATACTCTTTTAACTGCATGATAATTATTGATATTGATATTGGTTATTGACTTCAACTGTAGTTCTGATTCCTTTTGATATTTTAATCTGATTCATACTCTTCAAAGTGGACTTCAACAGTCATGTCTTCTTCGATTTCTTCTTCTCCTTCCCCTTCTTCTTGCTGGATGTTCATAAATTGTTTAAATGAAGATGAATCAGCTGTCTCTTCATCGAAATCACATGAATCTTCGTCTGTTGTATTCAATTGGACATTTGAGCAAGAGTGGCTTTGGCAATTAGTACACGCTGGAGAACACAGTAACCCTACTCTTCTACAGCCACATTTAACACTACAACTTCTTTTTTGCAATTGCAAAAAATAGTGTTTAGGTGGGAGTAAAGATTGAATCGGTTCCAAAGTATTATTTGTTAAATTCCAACCCCAGTCTTCTGGGTTCAGTTGATTGCCTAGCAATGTTTGGACTTGGTCTGGACTTGGTAGTATACTCGATACAAGTGTTGATTAGCAAAAGCCGATGTTGGAGGAAGACAAGGTAGTTGTACTTGTTTCTTGTTTCGTGTATTATTGACTAAGGGACTGAGTTTCTTTTGAGTGTATATTCTTAGAATAGTATAGTTTATACATATAAGAGACACAAATAGACATTTTTTATTTGTATTAAGTGCCTGACTAGACTATGTATATACGTGGCATATATGTGCATATCATGTAGAACGTGACTCCTTCAACTTTTAGAATCGCGATATCTCAGGAATGGTGACTCTTAGAAAAAAAAGTATAAGGACTATTTTTGTAGATAATTTTAAGGTCAGGGCTAGTTTTTTGATAAAACTTACCGTTTTCGAAAAAAAAACGAAATACATCAAATTTTGACCTTTAACCCCGAATAACTTTTTTAGCACACATGGGATCGATGGGGACTTTTGACACTTTATTTCTAATGGTGTACCCAAGCTCTCCACCAAAATTTAGTTCTGTCGGAATTTTCGTTATTTGACCACTATTTTTATGACTAATTTGACCAAACTAGGATTCCGTAAAAACATTACTTTTGAATGACTGCGACATATTAATCATCATTTTTTTATGTCAGTGCGAAGGAAGCCTAGAATATTAAATACATGTTCTAGCGTTTACTAGTTATTTATTGCCAACTGTGAATAAAACTAATTTATATTTTAAAATAATCGTTTTTGCTGTTTTATTAAATGCGCGTAATAAAAAATAAATAAAAATATCAATATGATGAGTTTAATAGTATATTATACACGAAGGTAGAGAAGTATGCCATCATAGCTGAGGCACCAAGATTAAAATACCGAGCCGCAGGCTAGGGTTTTTTTTGTACCGAAGCTATAATAACACTCTTCTCTACCGTGGTTTATATAGTATATTTTCCACTACTAGCTACTACACCTTAAATCGAGTTTCAATAATTGACATGCAGTTTCACGAAATTTGAGTAAATACTCTAAAAACGCTGATATCATGTGCGAGAATCAAGTGGGTACTCTTTTGTTTGAAATCAAACTTTGTGACATTTCACACAAATAAATTTGCAATTAATTTGACATTTCGCACAAAGAAATTTGTAATTAATTTAATTTAAAGCTATAAATCATGGAATTGAAAGTGAAATGGGCTGCACACCCCCTGAAGTGAGGAAAATGGCAGAGAATGTTGATAACCAAGTCCAAAAGTCCAAACATCTTTACGTAAAAGCATACACAGTTTTTAAAGATTGGTGTCTTACAAAAAAACGTCGTCAATTCCTCAGAAAATGTCCTACTAGCATACTTTAAAGAGCACGAGGATAATAAAAAGGCATGCAGTCTATGGAGTACTTTTTCAATGTTAAAGGCAACCCTAAAATTAAAAGAAAATATTGATGTTGAAAGATATTATAAATTAATTTGTGGGTACACATGTTTGCAAGTGGCCCATTTTTAAGCATTACGTCAAGAACGCCGCCGGACGCACCACGGGGTTCCCGGAAGACGACCCCGGCAGGGTGGCGCCAAGGACCAGGGACTTCTGCCAGCGACTACCAAACTACCTACGACCGACTCCACACACAGGGACTCTCCAACGAACACTCACCCCGTCAACACGTCTTTTTCTATACAACCTAGTTTTATAAAATACTTTATTTTTTCTGTTGAGAGAGCGTTTTATTCTTGCTGTACAGCGAAAGCAACCCTCAAATTGCATACCTACTAAAGCCCCAAGACCCAAGAAATCGCCTGTGTAGATATTACTATATTTCTCACTGAAGTACCTGATGAACTATGCAAAATGTTGACGAGTGATGTGGATGTTCGAAGCGATATAATTATAATAAAAATACCTACCAGTAAGAATGGTTTAGCCAGAAAATTTGTCGTGAGGAAACCCCTGTGGATTGAGGTGGTAAAAAAGTACTTGGGGAAAAGGCCTACACCAGATTTACAAAGATTATTTATTGGCTTCCGAAATGGGGTGCCAACACGGCAAAATATGGGGCACAGCACAATTAGCAATATGTCCAAAATTATGAAAATTACACCTGTTATGCCCTTCGCAGAACTTCAGCTACCATATTAGCCGAAAATGGGGGTGATATACTGTCCTTAAAGCGTCACGATAAGAAACGCATTGCTGGAATGGTGCAAGGTGTTCAAACGTCGTCGTCATTCCTTGTCGCTCCTTCTGCCTCTGCGACTATTACTAGTGCCACTGTTGAGTGTTATGTTTCACTCAATTCGCCCACTTCGAGTACAATTCCAAACACTTCGTTTTCTCCAAGGCACCCCGTGCCCGGAAATCAAGCTGATAATGCTGCTGGTGCCACTACTACGTCGCTCAACATTGGAAGAGCAGGCATCAATATGACATGCCACAATTGCACAGTTAACTATTATTTCCGATAAGTTCGTGGTACTGATAATTATCTGTTGACATGTTCTGGATATTTTCTATCTACTAAAAACGTGTTTCATAACATCCACGTTCTGCGTGCTGTGGTTCTGTACTTCTATAACTGTCAAGTGTCAAAATTATTAAGTGTCATTTTCATTATTTGCCTTGGTTAATAAATCAAGGTCATCATTATTCATCCAGGTCAAAAAGATAGAAGTTTACACGTCAAAGATAGGTCGATAATGGTGGGCTTATAGGCTAGTAGTGGAAAAAACACTTTTAAATACTTTTAAAATAATTCCAAGTTTAGTCAACAGTATCAACATGTCGTCTTATTCATTATTTTTTTTTTTTGCTAATTATAGTGGGATTGCTGCATGAACTATTTGAGACCGATTTGGTATTCTGCGAATAGCAGATATTTTTTAATATTGCAACAGCGACCGTGGCGCACATGGACGGTTTTATTACGTTAATTTTAACGTTAAAAAAGCGACGGCGATCATTTTTCCGCGCACGTACTTGATTATTATTCACACTTAATAGAATATGAGGCGAGCGAATGAGCATATCCAAATCCACGCCACTCGTAATCCGATTTTCGAAGCCGCTAAACGAGATTACCGTCGATTCGGACGTATCGGCGATATTACATATTTACGATGTCGGCGGAGGTCCAAAAATCCATCCCAACGGCGCGAGATTAATGCTCGCGTCGACAAATGAATATTATCGATCGGTCCGTCGCTTTACCTACCACCCAATCTGACACTTCATCTGTAATATCACAGAAGGAAAGAAAAATTGAGACAGTATTAATAAATTCTCCTCCGTCCACAAAGAAAAAAGAACAGTAACAAACTCAAAACTGTATTTTATGGGGTCCCCCCAAGGAACGACATCTGGCCCCATTTAATTTAATCTTAATAGATATTCACTGAGTCTTGGTACAAGTAAGTTTGAATTCTTAAATATTTTGATTAAAACAATCTTTACGGTATGTAGTACTATGATATAAAGGTTGAAAGGTATGACATTGCGCATACCCCAAGCTATGTTGTGACGTCATATGGAGAGTAAATAAAGATTTGTGGATTTTGTCCGTGGCGGACAAACATGCAGTGTAATAATGCCAACATACATTTATAGCTTGGCCTTCGTGTTGTGTGTTCTAAAGCGGTGGAAGTTTCATATTTGCATTGCGAGTGTTTATTATGATTGAACTACACAAAACTTTTGGTTTATGTAGAGATTACTGACTTCCTGAAATGCATTGTTTCAATTTTGGTTGTATAACAGATAACCTAAACAAATGAGGATATAATGTTTTCCATTTTACAAGTAATTAACATGTTAAGACATGTTAAAATTGAACTATATTCGTAATCTGCTCCGGTAGTTGCTAAATTAAACACATAAGAGTTATAGAATGATGAACAAAGGCGTCGTATCGCAAATTTTTGCCAAATGATGTCCGAATAATTTTGATAATTCTGATCGGTATGTTATTATTTTGATATTAAAACTATTATGTATTTATTAGATTGTAACCTTAAACTGTTGCCATAAACTGTTATTAATGAGCCACTTAGATCACTCTCCGCATAACGTCATGCGCCAAGCGAACCAATCAGTTTTGGTTCACGGGGACTAGCACAATTGGTTGCCAACAACAGTAACACAATTAATTGTGCTAGTTTGGATATCATATATCCTAGTCTTTGTATCATGATCTAGTACTTACTTCAAACTTCAAAGCCTGCTTTGACTCGTGATTCCTCTTAGCTAGAGCCACCCTTACCCACTCCGGCTTGTCCGAGATGGCTATGTGTAGCAGGTACCGGATGCCTAGAAGGAGATGCTCCAGGAAGACGAACAGCAGCAACCATTGCACTTCGCTGAAGTCCTGAGCCCTTCTCCTAATCTGAGGGCTCAGATAAAGCAGACCGCAGTTGGTGAAGATGGATAGCGCCCCAACTACCTCAAACGCTCTCTGTAAGTCGCATAAGCTAAAACCGCGTTTGTGGTGCTCAAAGAAGACACTTACTTGCCAGGCACCTATATCCTTCACCTTTCGACTCATCGGCCTCTGGAATACCTTGCACAGCTTGAAAGCGTCCGCTCGGATCTCCACCACGTTGTTGAGCAGGGCCCAAAAAGCTGCCACTGGGTACACCGAGGAAAACAAGAACACGTAGCCGAACTGTATGAAGAGCTCCAGGTAGTCGTCGTAAGTGCCTTCATACGCTTCCATCTCCGCTTCCTCCATGGCTTGCTTGATCCGCAGGTCGTCCGGTTGGATCGTAGGAATGTTAATGTTTGATAGGGGTTGCTTCGGCACCAACATGTTGTCTCGGAAGACTTTAGGTTGGTTGGAAGGAGAGGGTTTTTCTAGGAGTTTTTGCTTCAGGCGTAGCACCTAGAAGCAATTCGATGTTATTGTGGAAATACAAAAAAATCTACTTTCTCCGAATCAGATATACAAACGACCCTTACATATATTCCATTTAAAATAGAATGAATACCAAACAGTCGATGTGTGGGGGTTGCTTACCTTCATGATGTAATATCTGTAGGCGAGCGGCATAACCGTCTCCTGCAGGTTGTTAATAGCCTGCGATATGATCAGCATCGTCTGCAGCTGGCTCTTGAGCATGTCCATGTCCCTGATAATGAAGGCGATGTAGAACAGCGACAGGAAGTTGTTGACGAACTCGAAAAGGACAAGTTTTGTCACCCTGTGTCGCTCGTATTGGGATTGAGTTCGATGGTTCTCTAAAAGCATTTGTGAAATATTCAGAGCTTCCTTGAATTATGCAAACGATTGATCTGAATTCGACGAAGGGGGTCTCGAGCAAATGCGAGACATTTTGCACAGCGTCGGATATAAAGGACGAATTAGCGTAACAGTGTTTTATATTTCGAGTACCTATTATTAGTTACCTCGGGATTTTGTGGAGAAAGATTAGGTGTTTTTTAAGGATTTCGAATTAGCTTAAAGAATAAACAAAATATCAAAACCGAAACGACGTTTTTAACTTCAAGAGTTATTTTTAGAATGTCAAGTTAAAAAAATCATCACACCCACAGATTCGCGATTTAAACACCCGATCGAATACTCCCGTTTGTCGTTGGACAGCTATTATTATCTTTGATTGGAACGTATCGATTAAGCCCGACATCGAATGCACTTTCATGAAACTAGAGATCCACTCGAGCTCGAAGGGAAATTGCCCGATATTTAGTTCTCGCGGGTTGTAAATCTCCTAAGTTTATGTAAATTTGCACAGTCAGTGGTGCAGCTACAAGGCGGACCGAGAAAAGTTCGTCGCTGGAATTGCAAATCAGGGACAACCCCATCTGCTAGCTAACGTAATTTGAATACAGTTGGATCAGTGATTACTTACCCCATTCCGTGAGGAAGGTGGCCAGTCTCCTGTAGTAAGTGTTCATGATGAAGACCACGATGGAGTAGATGACACTTGGGAGCATGATGTATCGTTGGGTTTCCTCGTCTGACTGCTTTATGTAATCTTCCGCCCAGAAGGAGAACAACATTACGATGAAGGCGCCCACCATGCACATCAGCACTATGGGAATGGAGACTGCGTACATCTACGCAAAATATACCATTAAACAATATTAGCAGCTGTATCTGAGAAAGAATGATCTTCCAAAAGGGTAATAACCGATTAAAAAACATCTAAAGAATCAGTTACTTTTTTAAGGATAATCCACAAACTCCTGCTGAACTTACCTTAATATAAGTCATATATCTAGGAGCTTGTGGTTGAATTTTGCCCGTAATAGCGTCTATTCCCATAGCGCCCCTGAAATTTGGTCTTGGTTCATCCATACTCGTCATGCCTATAGTACCCCATTTAAAAGCTAATTCGTTGCCGTTCCTTTTCCATATCTGAAAATACCAAGACTTTTTTCATAACACGCTGCATATAGTAGTAAGAGGGTGGATCTTTTCAAAGGGAACATTTTTATATCAGAATGGCTGTGAAGACACCACAGGGTTCACAGTTAAGGCCCGTAGGTCTCTGATACCATATTAATGTTAACTAGTGACACAGTCAAAAGATATTGCTTCATTTTCTATTTGTAATTGATTTAAATCATTTGCAAACGAAAGATTGCTGCTGATTTAAGGTTGTACCTCACCCTGTACCATTTCCGTCATCATAAACCATAATTACTACCAATGCTGATGTATTTTCCTCGCACGGGGAGAAGATGGATGTGCCAACTGTGGAAATAAACACCGAGTGCCTCGTAATAAAACGGAAAGTGATCTATTATAAAAAGTTTCGAATTGTGACGTTCGGTTGAAACGAGGGTCATTTATTTCGCCCGGCGGGAGCCCAGCGGCGTGCGTACTTATAATAAAAAAGTAACTAACAATGTTAAAAAGTTTTCTGTGACACTGCCAAATAAAAGTGGGGTTGTACAGCAAAAAAATAAAAAATGATACCTACTGTTTCGAATAGAAATATTCAAATAGAATGTTTTCAAAAGAGGTATAAGTATTAATAACTATAATAATTTATTTGTCACTATAGCTGTTACAAAAAAAACAACAGATGTAGCTAGTAAGTGTTCTTTTCTGGTCGAGATTTTCAAAATGCTCGAAACCAGTTTTTTGCAGGCTCAAATAATGAATGAATTTAATTAAAATTAAAAAATGTAATATTTAAAAAAATTACAGAAGAGTCCAAAGAGTTATATGAGAAAATCATCAACTATAGCATCATCAGAAGAAAACGTTGTTTTAAACCTGAATTCTAATGCTCCAATTAATTTTAATAGTTGTTCAAATTGTAATTTTAATTTTGTCTTTAAAAAAATTGATTTTTAAAATTCTACATTTTATTAGATTGCTTACCACCTCCTGACTGGTAAGTAATCCCTTACCGATCGTTAATTTGTAAATGTCACTTGTTACAACAAATTCAGAATAGGTGTCAAATTACCTGATCGTGCAAAATTTACACCATAAAGGAGGTAAGCAATAGTTAATAACTGCTAACTGCTGCGTGGTGTATAACATTTTATCTGCTTCCACAGTTCACGAAATAAAGGTTAGGTTTTATTTTTCGACATTACTTAATCAATTCATTTTGACATTATTCGAAATCTTGCAAAAGTCGCCTTGGTTGCTTGGATTTTGTCGTTTCTAAGGTGTTGTAAACCAACAAAGCTACATAAAAGTTGCAATTTTGCTGGTTTTGAATTATTATTTCTAAATGAGTGATTTTCAAATAGAAAGTGCAGCAAATGTTGCCTGCGAATTTTTATTGCTCGATAAGTCGTAATTACGCTACGGACGATCACACAGAAATTTCAAAGATTAGTGCCAGAACAAAAATACTGGTGTTTCTGAAATGTCACTGCTAGCATATTTCATGGAGAAGTCAAGAACTTTAAAGTCACCGCGAGTTTCTGGAGTGAATACTCAATGATTAAGTTAACTATTTTCTTAGAGGAGAACGTGGATATATCAAAATACCCCAATCTGAGAGCATTTTTGAAACGTAAGAATGACGGATATACACCTAAAAAGTCAAACGTTTTTACAAGAGAACAAGTCAACGGTTTTCTTGTTCAGGCACCCGATAACACATATTTGCTAATGAAAGTAGTGACGATCTTAGGTATTGCAGGGGCGTGCTGTTCTGATGAGTAATGCAAACTTTGGACGTCAATTTCAAAAATTTCGATGACATTATTGTAGTTACAATTCCAGATTCTAAAATTGGCACGTCATGTACGTTTACAATTACTTCGTCTGGGTTCTGTTTCACAACTAGAAATTCTCAAGAAATATATCAGGATTAGATTAGAAATTAAAACTGAAATTTCACGCTTTTTTTATGCGCTATCAAGCAGGTAAATGTTACAAACAACCAGTCGGCAAGAATACCCTTTCTACGATGCCTAATAAGATTGCACAGTTTTTGAAACTAGAACATCCTGAAACATATACAGGCCATTCGTTCCGAAGAACATCGGCAACGTTACTGGCTAATTAAAAAACTCAATTTGCAACTTTCGAAGAAAGAAAAGAATCTGTTCAATTGAAGTCAACAAATTTTTATCACAAACAGACCATAAACCAGCTACCATATTACCCCAGTTTACCAAATATCAATTTATTTGAAAGGTAATAAGGACAGGAGGGAAAAATTCCAGTACAGCAGCCCGTATTTTTCAACTTTTGACTCTAATTAAAAATAAAAGAACCTATAACCCGGTAGTAAAGTTTTCCGGCCAAGGATCCTAACACTCAAGGGGGGCTGTTTCTTAGCGGGTTCCCGGGCCCTAGGGCTCGATTCTGCAATAAATATCGCCCTTAAGTATTTACACGCCGAAAGTTCGCAGCTACGCTCGTCCGATGAGAGTTAACGTCGCTTCCGCCCCCCAAGCCCCGGCCTGGCGCAGGAAGCTGATAAGATCCATCCTCCGGGGCGTAGATAAAAATCTGACACCCCGTTCCGTGGCCCCCTTTATAATCTGCGAGAGTTAATCTGCGAAAATAATTTGCCGGGGCAGCAGCGTCTTAGACGTCGCGAGGGCTTTGTATAGTTAATAACGGTGCCTGGAGTGTGATGGCGCGCCGAACAAAAACCGCGTCTGAAGTGTGTGCAGCAGCGGAACAGAAGGGGGGAAGGGAGGGGGGAGCTAGCGACGCAAGGGCGGCGAGAGAGACGGAGCGTAATTAAATTCAGACGGTTATTATATTAAACAACCTACGATTTTTCAGCCGCGAGTTGGGGTAATATGACCATTTATCTATTCTGTGACCTTGTAGGAAGACAAAATGGTTTGTTTCTGAGTTACAGTGTCATATCATTCAGTCGAGGTAGTAATATGACACGATGCATCAGGGAATATGGCAATAAATATTCAGGGATAGCATTTATGGGCGTAATATGGCAACAACGTTGGGAAATATGGAATGTACTATATAATTTTTCTCAATGAACAACCGTGTTAAATATATACAGGTCCGGAAAGTCCCCATGGTTCATCGGCCGTTATGTGAGAGCGATAAAATAAGTCACAGAAATCCGTGCGATAGCTATAATGAAGGCGTCTAATAGTCACCGACCGTTTCGCCCTTCCACAAATAAGATCCACTTCCACTAGTAATTCAGCGACCGGTGGTCATCTTTGTTTTCGCCGTTTGCCTTTTCTGTAATAGATGTCACTACTTATACAATTCCAATTTCGTATTCCGATACGTTAATCCAATCCGTTAACCCTTTCGCTGCGGCATGTGCTTAAAAAGCCAGTAGCGCCAAAGACGGCGATTCAGTCGATCGCGAAATAAGTCGCATTGAGCAGGTTAGAAATTTTATTTTCAGATAACGAATTTGTGTCCAAAGTGCTTTTGCCGGGTTAACTCGCTAATAAAAAAATGTCAAATATTTGCTGAAAACAAGTTTATTATCTTCAAAATACCAAAAATATATATCAAAACAAACTGTTTTTCTCAAAAAAACATAAGAATATCAATTTTTTATTTTAACAAAATCGGGACATTACCTATATTAAAAATGTTTTTTGGTATGATAGATACCAAAACATGGAACAATACAAAGTGGAACGTAACATTCTGTGCACATATATCGACTTTCTTTTCTTATTTTGTTTTCATTGCAAACCACGCATCTCTTCGTTGGGCGCATTGTATGAGTTGTTTTTGGGATAACACTTGGAAAATGTCTTGCAGATAGTCTAATAGGAATTAATATGTGGCTTCGTTTGCCTGCCAATAAAAAAAAACAAATATTTTGTGGTATCTACCAAATAGATAACTTACCGCCAGAGGAATATTTGGCAGCCACTTCTGCGTCATGGTACTTTTTAAGAATACAGCGTACAAGTTCCAATTGATATTCAGCCAGGGAAATTTTTTTGCCTGATGCCAGTTTGTAAAGGGCGTGTCCATTTAGTACACAAAGGTCAAGTAAGTGGAAAAATACTTTCCTATACCATTTGTTTGTTCTTCTTACAGATTCAATACTGTTTAGTAACATGTCAGAGCGATCCACAGCGCCCATGTTTTTATTATAGTCTAGGACGCTGTCTGGTTTTAAAATGGCTTGATTGGTTTTTCTATCTAGTTTTCCAGTCTCCGCCATACCATAACTATTGTTAGTTGTGAGCATGTGTATCTCCCTTTTGTCGCACCATTTTATGCATAAACATTCCTTAGAAGACTGAAAAGTCATTTCACCTCTTTGTAATTTTTCTGCAAATTTTGGCATATTTTTTCTGTTTTTTTTTTTACAGTGCCACAAGCATTTGTTTTGTGAGCATGCAGAAGCGAATAAAGTACAGGACTGGTATACCAGTTATCAGTATACAATGTGTGGCCTTTATCTAAATAATCTTTCATGAGAGTCATAACTATATTACCCGAAATTCCTATGTTTGGATTATTTGATTCAATGTTGGTAGTTGAGCCGGTATATATAATAAAATCTAAAATATAACCGGTTAGACAATCAGCCAAAACAAACCATTTGATTCCGAATCTATGCCGTTTACTAGGAATAAATTGTCTGAACCCCAAGCGACCCTTGAAAAGCAACAAGCTTTCATCAATGCAAACGTTCTGGAATGGTGTAAAGCAGGCCTTGAATGATGATTTTATAGAATCAAAAATTGGACGTATCTTAAAAAGTGGGTCGTCATTGGTAGGTTGTTGATTGTTGTTAAAATGTAAGGCACGAAGTATTATAAGGTATCTATCTCTAGACATTATTTGGGAATATATTGGAGTTTTCAGCAACGGATCCATCGACCAATATTCAGAAAAAGTCAGCTTCTTTGTTCTCACCATCAAAAGAGAAACTGCTAAAAAGCAGTAGATATCTTTTGTTTCTACATCACGATATTTGTGCAGTCTAGATGACTTTTTGATTGTTTTACTGGCCCTTAGCTGCTCCGCATAACGATTAGTTTCCTCAACTATTGTAGTTACAAGGTTTGTGTCAAAAAACTTTTCAAAAAAATCTAAGATGTTGCCATTTTGTAAACCTGGATCGGTTATTCCGGAGTTTAGACTGAAAAACCCATGTTTTTTTGGAGTAAAGGTTGGATCACAATTCCAAATAAAATCATTCAAGACAACGTTTTCTTCCCCATCACTTGACTCGCTATCTGATTCGGAATAAGCATCTACAGGTTTTGCAAACTTAATTGTTCTAACAGGCAATGTAGGAGTCGTGGATTTAGAAGTTGAAGGTTGATCATGCAAATTTTGGAGATCATCTTCCTGAGATTCATCGTCTAGCTCATCTTCAGAAAAAGATGCCTCATCACCGCTTTCTAATAATAATTTTTCCAACTCTTCGTCCGTTAAACCTGAAAGGTTCACAGTGAAAATTATAAGTAAAAAAATTAAAAGATATGTAAAAGTGGAACAAACTAACAAATTTAGGTAAAAGCTTGTAAAAACAATAAACTTTTTTTAAAATATATTTTGTCTTACCTTTAGACATTTTGTTTCACACTCAAAGACATGAAACTAAAAAACGAAACATAAAACTGATCGAGCGTGTGAACACCTGCACAGCAATAAATCAAATGTGCCAAACTGCTCTTGACGAGTATATATGGTGACGTCACCAGCGGTCTGATCGAAATTTGGCCAATACCGTTTCGAGATTTTATACATTATAATACGCCTACCGAGTCCTAGTATAATCGCGTTGAGCAGTTTGGAGAAAATACAATTTAAAAATGCTCGTCGTGAGCACTTCGGGCACTTATTTGTGTGTGCGAGTATAGTCGTCAATAGCAGGGAAAGGGTTAACAGAGGGCAGCACAATTAGTCTAAGGTGAGGCGCAGCCCTAGAAAGAGTGATGTCAGATCTACAGATTTTTTTGGAATTGGGGAATTAGGGAATTTTGCTTTATTTCTTGGGATTTTTAAGTCATTTTAAAAAGTATACTTAAATAACAACTAAATGAACTTTAAATGCAGCTGAGCACTATACTCCATTTGAATAACTTCTCAGTAGGGGAAACAAGGTCACTAGATTTACAAACAGAGGTATCTACTAGCTACTGTAAAAAGTTTTCTTTATTACGCGTTGTACTGCCCTCTGTTATCGGATGGTATTAACATATCGGAATACCGAAGTCGAAAATGTATAAGTAGTGACATCTATTAAAGAAAAGCCCGTTTGGCTTTTCTTTAATAGATAGACGAAAACAAAGATGACCACCGGTCGCGGAATTACAAGTGGAAGTGGATCTTATTTGTGGAAGGGCGAAACGGGCGGTGACTATGAGAAGCCTTCATTACAGCCATCCTTCTCTGTTGCACGGATTTCTATGACTTACTTTATCGCTCTCATGTACGGCCGATGAACCATGGGGACTTTCCGACCCTGTAGAAGATTATAGAAGAAATAGTACTTACCTCAAGGAAAAGAATAACCGATACCATGTTGAACGCGCAGAAGAATGGCACTGTTTCGGTGGACACTAGCAGCTGAAGGAAACCTAGAACTACCGGCACCAGGAGAGCAGAAGTATAGAACGACAGGAAGTGGAAGTAGAGCGCGATTGCCTCTCCGAAGTAAAGCCTTATCTCCTCTGAAAAAAATGTCAATAATTAGTAAATTAGGTTTTAGTCCAATCAATCTGTCACGGCCTAATGTTAAATTTACAAAAAATACCACCTGGAAATAAAAAATATGGTGATATAGGAAAAAAATGTCTAAGAATGTTTTTTTTCCTGTGGCGCATAAACGGCGAAGTTAACGTAAAAAATTCATAAAAGTAAAAAAAAACGGTTTTTTGTTAATAAAAAAACTTGAACTCCAATCGAAAAAAGTTAAATGAGAAAGGTGTNAGAGCGTACAAGTTCCAATTGATATTCAGCCAGGGAAATTTTTTTGCCTGATGCCAGTTTGTAAAGGGCGTGTCCATTTAGTACACAAAGGTCAAGTAAGTGGAAAAATACTTTCCTATACCATTTGTTTGTTCTTCTTACAGATTCAATACTGTTTAGTAACATGTCAGAGCGATCCACAGCGCCCATGTTTTTATTATAGTCTAGGACGCTGTCTGGTTTTAAAATGGCTTGATTGGTTTTTCTATCTAGTTTTCCAGTCTCCGCCATACCATAACTATTGTTAGTTGTGAGCATGTGTATCTCCCTTTTGTCGCACCATTTTATGCATAAACATTCCTTAGAAGACTGAAAAGTCATTTCACCTCTTTGTAATTTTTCTGCAAATTTTGGCATATTTTTTCTGTTTTTTTTTTTACAGTGCCACAAGCATTTGTTTTGTGAGCATGCAGAAGCGAATAAAGTACAGGACTGGTATACCAGTTATCAGTATACAATGTGTGGCCTTTATCTAAATAATCTTTCATGAGAGTCATAACTATATTACCCGAAATTCCTATGTTTGGATTATTTGATTCAATGTTGGTAGTTGAGCCGGTATATATAATAAAATCTAAAATATAACCGGTTAGACAATCAGCCAAAACAAACCATTTGATTCCGAATCTATGCCGTTTACTAGGAATAAATTGTCTGAACCCCAAGCGACCCTTGAAAAGCAACAAGCTTTCATCAATGCAAACGTTCTGGAATGGTGTAAAGCAGGCCTTGAATGATGATTTTATAGAATCAAAAATTGGACGTATCTTAAAAAGTGGGTCGTCATTGGTAGGTTGTTGATTGTTGTTAAAATGTAAGGCACGAAGTATTATAAGGTATCTATCTCTAGACATTATTTGGGAATATATTGGAGTTTTCAGCAACGGATCCATCGACCAATATTCAGAAAAAGTCAGCTTCTTTGTTCTCACCATCAAAAGAGAAACTGCTAAAAAGCAGTAGATATCTTTTGTTTCTACATCACGATATTTGTGCAGTCTAGATGACTTTTTGATTGTTTTACTGGCCCTTAGCTGCTCCGCATAACGATTAGTTTCCTCAACTATTGTAGTTACAAGGTTTGTGTCAAAAAACTTTTCAAAAAAATCTAAGATGTTGCCATTTTGTAAACCTGGATCGGTTATTCCGGAGTTTAGACTGAAAAACCCATGTTTTTTTGGAGTAAAGGTTGGATCACAATTCCAAATAAAATCATTCAAGACAACGTTTTCTTCCCCATCACTTGACTCGCTATCTGATTCGGAATAAGCATCTACAGGTTTTGCAAACTTAATTGTTCTAACAGGCAATGTAGGAGTCGTGGATTTAGAAGTTGAAGGTTGATCATGCAAATTTTGGAGATCATCTTCCTGAGATTCATCGTCTAGCTCATCTTCAGAAAAAGATGCCTCATCACCGCTTTCTAATAATAATTTTTCCAACTCTTCGTCCGTTAAACCTGAAAGGTTCACAGTGAAAATTATAAGTAAAAAAATTAAAAGATATGTAAAAGTGGAACAAACTAACAAATTTAGGTAAAAGCTTGTAAAAACAATAAACTTTTTTTAAAATATATTTTGTCTTACCTTTAGACATTTTGTTTCACACTCAAAGACATGAAACTAAAAAACGAAACATAAAACTGATCGAGCGTGTGAACACCTGCACAGCAATAAATCAAATGTGCCAAACTGCTCTTGACGAGTATATATGGTGACGTCACCAGCGGTCTGATCGAAATTTGGCCAATACCGTTTCGAGATTTTATACATTATAATACGCCTACCGAGTCCTAGTATAATCGCGTTGAGCAGTTTGGAGAAAATACAATTTAAAAATGCTCGTCGTGAGCACTTCGGGCACTTATTTGTGTGTGCGAGTATAGTCGTCAATAGCAGGGAAAGGGTTAACAGAGGGCAGCACAATTAGTCTAAGGTGAGGCGCAGCCCTAGAAAGAGTGATGTCAGATCTACAGATTTTTTTGGAATTGGGGAATTAGGGAATTTTGCTTTATTTCTTGGGATTTTTAAGTCATTTTAAAAAGTATACTTAAATAACAACTAAATGAACTTTAAATGCAGCTGAGCACTATACTCCATTTGAATAACTTCTCAGTAGGGGAAACAAGGTCACTAGATTTACAAACAGAGGTATCTACTAGCTACTGTAAAAAGTTTTCTTTGTTACGCATTGTACTGCCCTCTGTTAACGGATGGTATTAACATATCGGAATACCGAAGTCGAAATTGTATAAGTAGTGACATCTATTAAAGAAAAGCCAAACGACGAAAACAAAGA